TATTATTCGAGAAATTTTTATTTGTAATCATTTATAAATATAACATAAATTTTGTTAGATTAACACATACAGATATTCTTGTATAAATGATATCAAGTTGAAAAATTGAATTAAATCTGAAAATAATTTCTTTGGTTGAATAATTTTATGGCTTTTTTATCGATAAAGTTAAGATTATTATTAGATTGTGTGTGTACGTAAGTACACATACATACATATTTACCATATTAATAACGCGTCGAATAAAAATGTGATCAAAAAAACACACACGTGTATGTTATATTAACGTGTATAAATGTACATATGTATTTATGTATCTGATGAGTAATGTCTTTCTATCAGAGAATACGATAACGTTTTCTTATTGCAAAATAAAATATTTTTTTAATGTTAAATCATACCGCGATTCATCATTCAAAAATTTATATTTTTACACTTATAATTTTTATTTTTATTTTTATTTTTATCTTTACATATTTATAATTTTTATTTTTATCAAATAAATGTTAATATGCATATGTTACCGTCATAGCCGGAAATCCGCCATTGCTGGTAATTCCTCGACATTACTATAAATGCAAAGAGCCTTCAGAGAAAGTCGGAAATAAAACTTTTTACAGAGTTTTTCCTAGGCATCGAACATAATACTTTGATATTCTATAGAATACACCATATAGAGCTATAAATTTAGCATGTAAAGTTTAGAAAATGTCAGAGAAGGCAATGCTGTAAATTGTGCATCTTTGCAATTTCTTTAATAAGTTTTGATAAATATTTTTTATACTAAAAGTGAATAAATTTTAATGAAACTTGTATTCAATTAAAGTACATTCTTTTGTCTACACGTAGAATACTATATCGAGTTATAAATTTAGCATGTAAAGTTTAGAAAATGTCAAAGAAGGCAATGCTGTAAATTGTGCATCTTTCCAATTTTTTTGAAAAGTTTTGGTAAATATTTTTTATACTGAAAGTGAATAGATTTCAATGAAACTTATATTAAATTAAAGTGCGCTCTTTTGTCTACACGTAGAATATAATATCGAGTTATAAATTTAGCATGTTAACTTCATTAAATGTTAGAGAATTCCATGCTGTAAATTGTGCATCTTTGCAATTTCTTTGAAAAGTTTTGGTAAATATTTTTTATACTTTTAGCAAATGGATTTTAATGATTTTTATATTAAATTAAAGTACACTCTTTTGTCTACACGGAGAATATAATATCGAGTTATAAATTTAGCATGTGAACTTCATTAAATGTTA